GCGCTAGAAAAAAAAGATAAATACTAGAAATTTACACGTTGATCAGAAACATCTAACCATTAATTGAAAGGCTCCAACTATTCCTTAACCGTAGATTTATTTTGTTTTTTAATTATCCACCTCCATAATAATATAGATAAAAAAATAGCCTAAAATCTCATTGTGACGTACGGGGAAAAAATACTTCAAGAAAAAAATGTACAAGAAAAAATCTCCTGTAATCACGTTTACACAAAAAAGAGATCTCCTGTACTCATGTTTGCACAACTTATATGTAAGGAAATTTTCTTCAAGAAAAAAGGTACACTAAAAAATCTCCTACTCACGTTCACAATTGATTAATAAAAAGCTAATATTTGATCAGTTAGATATTAATAAAATATCAGGTAAACAATGCCCATCACATCCACGTTAGATAATCTATAAATAAAAAATAAAAAAATCAAATAGAAGGTTAATATGTTAATCCGAGAAAACATTCTTCAAGAAAAAAAACATACAGAAAAAATCTCCAGTACCCAAGTTTTACATAACTTCAATGTACGGAAAATTTTCTTCAAGAAAAAACATACCGGAAAAATCTCCTACTCACGTCCACAGTTTTAAAAAACTAATATCTGACCGGTTAGTATATTGATATAATATCAGGTCAACAATGCCCATCACATCCACGTTAGATAATAAAAATCAAAAAACAAATAGAAGGATAATCTATTAATTCATAAAACATGAGATACAATCTATGTCATTATAAAATATGATATAAAATTATACCTTTTAGTTTATATCAAAGTTATCAACCTCAGTCGTTATAAAATAATAAGTAAAACTATCTCTCATATCTATATGAAAATACCAATACGACGATATATCAAAAATAGTCCAACACACATAAAAGTACTCTATATATATTTCTAAATTACACACGCAAATGTTCGCTATGTCTGTCATGTAGAGCAACTAAACATGTATACGCTTAGCAAAAATATCTATTTATTAATAGCTTATCAAACATGGAAAATAGTACCTTAATGAAACCACATAGCAATTATACTGACAGTTTATTTTAAATATGATAAAACGACATGACAATACAATTCATAGGTTGTTAGTTTAAATAAGTTTATACATCTCAACTTAAACAATATGTCAAACCAATATTCTTTATTTAATTTTAGCCTCTATATTTATAAAATAATACTACTACAATATAAAATTTTGATAAAGCAAATTCAACATCTTGAGTACCAGAATGTAAGCTAAAATGACTATATAGATCATTGTAATAACTAAGAAGGTAGATAGGACCTAACATCTTTTCTTAAATAAATGAAAAGAAAATTTTGAATAAAAGATACAATAAGCATTAGAGGTTTAACTTAACATGTGGTTAAAAAATTACAACAACTAGACTAAAAGTTGAAATATAAGTAAACTATTGATTTATGATATTATAGAAAGGGATGCAGCAAGAACTTATGTAGCTTAATTTAGGTTTTAGCTAAATACATATCATAAAATACTTCTAAAAAAAGTAAGTCCATCAGACTGGTACACTCTAATACCATTCAGAATAGTTGCCATTAGGATCTAACCTTTTTTCGAACAATGACTAACATCTGTGATTGTGTAAAACAATTAAAGAACACCATAAATCTGTTTTACTCCTTCGCTTCCAAAGTGACATATAATTTATATAAATTTTTATTTTAGATATGTTACTCCTTGCGTTCCAAATTATAAGTCATTCTTATTTTCTAGATACATAGTGAAGCTATGTATCTATACATAGTGTGTATATAAATATATAACAAAAGTTTACCAAGAAATGTCTGAACAAATTATAACTTGGAGTGGAAGGCCGTGTACATTTTAACTAAAATGTTATCTACATTGGTAGTATAACTTTTACGGCATATATAATTTCTTGATAAATAAATTTAAACGCATGGCGGTAGTGTGAACCATATGTGCCTATACTTCCTTATATTTGGGATTATTTTAGAGTAAACAATCATTATATGACTTAAATATTAATATTGTCTCTAGGTTATCACCATTCTAGATATCACTTCAAGCTCTACCATTGATTTTGACTAATGTGGTACATGTTTAAAATGATTGTTTATGTCATTGTAAAACTTAAGAGTGCAATTTATGACCTAAAGTCTTTATTTTAAAAAGTACAAAAGAAGAGTTAATAAAGATACAATAGGAATTTTAGCTTGAGAATAGAAAATCTTTAGTAATTAATATGATTAAATTTGAAAATAAAAAATTTAAATTTATGGCATCAAAAGATATAGGCTGCAATAAGAACCACCATAGGTTAAGCCTTTCTTTTTAAACTAATGTTTCAACTAAATGCATATTCAAGTTACACATAGGTGCCGTGCAAAGAGAAAAAAACTATGGATATGGGTGGAAAAACATATAGTTTAGTAATTGGTACATTGATCACAACTAGATAGAGAGAACATTGTATCTGGGGTGTCTATTATATTGGAAAATAAACAAAATGAAAAATGTGCAATTTAATATTAGTAAATTATTTTGGATTCATGACATAAGAGGAGATGTACTACAATAAGGCCCGCCAGTTTAAGCTAACGTTTAGTAATTATACATTTGTGACAATTGGATAAAGATATCATAGTATCTATTACATTAGAAAAATAACAAAGTGAAAAACATGAAATTTAGTTTTAGTATTTTTATTAGTTAGAGGTATACTAAGTAGTAACTAATACTTATGTGCTCTAAAATTTCTACCCCGTGCGAGAGCACGGGTTGATGGACTAGTCTTACTAAAATGAAACAAAAGGCCTAAAAAAGAACGCATACAAATATATTAATTGTATAAATTAGAGCGAAACAACAAACCTACAATAGTTTAATGAGATACTAGTAATTTAAAGAATAAATATTGTTATTGCACCAAACCATTCACAATGCATCAAAAGAAAATTCAATAACTTGTAAATTTATAAAGATCAATTAGTGAGTGATAAAATGCCGTATGTCCAAAACATTTGGTGAATATAATCACGAAGCACGAGCATCCATTTGGGTTAGGCGGTTTAGGTAAGTTCACTCTTGATCGAGTCCGTCCATTTCGGCCGGAGCCATCATAGCTTCCTCAAAAACCATTCCACGGCTGCATCCGTGCCCGGCAGCTGCTCTACTTTTGCCTCTTTCTCATCAGAGGCCGCTCCGCATCGGACTCCTATTCGAAGCGCCACCGCTCGCCGGCAAGTAAGCTACGCCGTCGCACAGGCCAAGGCTTCGATTGGAGGCAACGCTGCCTACCTACGGTTTGGTTAGTAACTTAGCGTCAAGGAAAGAGGAGCGCTGAACAATGATCAACGAGTCTCGACGCCTGACTAGCTCTGACCTACAGGAGTTATGGAGATGAGACGAAGATGAACAAAGGATACTCAGGTTTGCCAACATTCGAATTTGGCGGGACCCTTAGATACCGAGGGAATTCTCCCACAGAGTTTTTACTCCGAGAGGAAGGAATTGGTCACACTAGGTTGCAAACCACCTCAACACAGAAGGGACAGATTGGAACTATAGCAAAATTGCCGCCATTTTCAACCCTGCGGATTGCGAAGCCATCGCCAAAATCAGACCGCCTTCAAGAAGAACTGAAGATTTTGTGGCTTGGAAAGCTGAGAAAACTGGGTTGTTCTCTGTTCGGAGCACGTATAATATCTATCGACTTGACGGAGCAAACTAGGGAGATCGGTGTAGCCTTGAGTGCTCATCCGGAAGGGAAAGAAAACTTTGGGGCAATATTTGGAAGTGCCAGGTGCCCCAAAAAATCAGAATTTTCGCATGGAAGGTGAGCAAGGATATTCTACCGACCAAGCTGAATAAATTCGGCAGACATTTAGAAGCCAACCCGGTCTGTGACATATTATGTGGCAGTGGAAGAGAATCAAGCTACCATGCAACTGTACTCTGCCCTCAGGCGCGGGCGCTGAGGGATGCTATGCGACACCGACAACATTGGGAGTTGCTCGATGAGCTACAGTTCCGGTACACAGGCAAAGAATGGCTCCTGGATAAATGCTCAATGGGCCAGCGGGCGCTCATTCTCCTTCTACTGTGGAGGACATGGTATGTGCATAATAGCATCACTGATAATGCAGGAAACTTCTCCGTGGCGGATTCCGTCCGTGGGCTTTCTGCTAAGCTACTGGGAAAGGTTCACGCGATGTTCAGAGCCGCCCCTAGGCCTCAATACCAAGGGCAAGCAGACAACAACATATCTGCGAGCAACGATCAAGATCTCCAAAAGAGCCACCACCCAGCCAGGCATGGAGACCGCTCCACCAGGTTGGATCAAAATTAACGTAGATGGTTCCTCTATTGTGCAGACAGGGTGAAGCGGGAGTGGGAGCCATCGGCCGGGCATTATCTTCTCGGCTTGGCGATCATATAGCAGATGCGGTCGCGCACTAGAAGCAGAGGCTCTTGCTTGCATCGAAGGTCTACGAAGAGCAGTGCAGAGTGGGCTGTCCAGGATCATCATTGAAACGACTGCGCTCGTGATTACTCGGCCTTCAGAAGTGATATGCAAGATAGGTCAGAGATAGGTTTCATTATAGAGGAGGCAAAAGGTCTCGCGCGCCTTCTCCATGAATGGAGGATTTCTCAAATAAAGAGAGAAAACAATCAGGTGGCTAATGATTTAGCTAGGTGCAGTAAGTCTCAGGAGGTAAGTTGGGGGCATGCACCTGTGTGTGTGTAGAAGAAGCCCTCGATGTCGATTGTACAAACATTTTGCCTAGCTAAATGAAAGCTCTCTTCGCTCGCAAAAAAAAAAAAGAAGAAGATTGCCAGCACGTAGCTGGGGCTCGCCTATAGGGTAGGTCCGCCCTTGGCCCAGAAGGTACAGATATATTTTCCTAACAGATTTTTTAAACATAAAAGTCGCAATTATTTTGAGTTCGAGGTGGAGGTGGTATCTTTTAAAATATTTAACCGAAGTTTCAAGGTAGAATTATCCATGTCATCAGTAATAAATCAAGGAAAATTTTTACCTCCCAATCCCAAGCAAACTGCGCGGACTTTGCGCTTCCTGCGCCCTTGACCACGCCTGCCCCTAGCACTCCCAGCAGCCACTCGAAGCAGCCTCCGCTGACGCCATACGGTTTATCGTTTTTTACCTCCGTGGATGCAGGCTTTCCCAACACCCGCTGCCGCCCACCGCTGACTGCACTGCGTATTTCAAAAAGAAGGTGCTACCATAGTGTTAAATGTGTAAGTTGTAACTGTGCACTTGCTCTGTTTCAAAAATTTTACCAGTCTTGGTTCCTCTTCTGTAAAATAACGTGGACCATTGATATAGAACTGTATTATAAATATGTATTTAATAATAATGGATCTACTGAAACTAATATGATATCCTAAATGTTGGTACATTTTTCTATCAACTAGGTCAAATTTTGTTTGAAATAGGACAAAATTGTAACAATAAGTGGATAGAGTAGTTATTGGCAAAAAAAAAAAGGTAGGCCCATCCTTCTTCCATTAAAATATACGAGATTTAACATACTAAACATTTAAGTTAGCTGTAACACAAAGATGTGAAGAGGACTCCCTGGGCATATAAATTCTGATGACAACAACCATATAGCCTCATCAAGATTGTGATCAAACATATATGATCAATTGGAAATTGGACTAAAAATTTAAAATCAACTGAAGCTGAAGGATAAAGAGCACGATTGGATTTTGTTATAACACAAAAATTCGTACCTGGTATCAGCTTGTTTATTCTCATCCTTCCCTAAGCCTTTGTAATGAGCCGAACTACATTCTTCAATGACTTCTTCTATCTCATCTTGCTCTTCAGGTTTTTTCTCAAGCATGCCAACTTGCTTGTTATCTTTACCAAGGCCTACATTTTGAGCTTCATAATATCCTTCCTTGTCCTCCTCAAGTATTTCACCTTTTTCTTCAAGATTATTGTTTGCTTCCTCTTGTATCTGTATACTTTCAGCCTCATTCTCATATTCACCTGATTCGCCATATCGAGTTCCATAATATGCATCATGATGCACTTCAAGGATCTCGTCTTTTCCTTCTAGATTCTCTTGTTCCTTCTCATCTTTCCCCATACCTAAGCTTCTACCCTCGTCAACATGAAATTTTGTCTCCACTAATTGCACATTGATTCTAGGATTTCTTGGATGGTTCCAAACTGCAGTCGTCAAGATAGACATGGCGTCAGCACCTGCACCCCATATTTTTGCAGAAATCTCTTTGAGGCCTGATAAGTGCTCGATGCTAATTGGTGTAGCAACATGTTGATCCACCTTTGGTGCATTGAAACCTAGCTTAAGCTTCTGAAGATTAGGCAACGCATCTACCTCAAATCTCAGCCATGGTGTACTGCACCTAAACTTCAAGTATCTGAGAACTGAGAATCCTACCTTGTGAAAAACAATTCTTTCAGGTAGCGCTGTCCGGATATACAGTGAGAGACCAGTGAGTGAAGGCAATCCTCCAAGAACATCAACATCACGTATTAACAACTCACCCACTGCAATATTTAGAACGCGGAGCCTGTGAAGTTGTTTGGTCCACTCGGGTAGGTTGGAGAAAATGCACCAATGCCGCGAAAGCTCTATCCTCTCAAGAGGGGACTGATAAGGGGGAGCAATGCCAAAGCTGTCACAAGAAATGCTCTTGCTTCGAACACATGGATCATCGAGAGTATTTGTACGAGAGAAGACTTCATGTGCCAGAGTTATAGACCTGAGGTTGCCAAGTTTCTCGAGAATATGGCCCAAACCTTTCATGTTATTCTTCAGAGTATCATCTGGCTGTGTCGAAGAACAAATGAGACAAAGATCCCGCAGATTGGTCAAATTGCGAAGATCAATCACATTTTGTTTTGAGTTTTTGCTGAGATCGAAATTGCTTAGCGTGCAAAGAGATGTCAAACGACCAATACTACCAGGAAATCTAGTTTGTCTTGGCAATTGGAGGTGACATAAATGCTCCAAGTGGCTAATATCTGAGGGAACAGCCACTGCTCTTGCATCTACTTCCAATACCTCCAAGTTTTTCAACCTTTGAATCCTGCCTGGAAGTTTGATGATGCCATTACTTTCTATCTTCAGATATTTCAGTCGAATAAGGTCATGAATTCCAGTAAGGTCCAAAATATTTTCTTGATCAGACAAAATATGAAGAATTAAAACTCGAAGGAGCCTGTAATCCACCACTGAAGGTACACATCCTATAAGTCCAAAAAATGTAAGCGACCGAATTTGGGACGTTATAATGCTTTCTGGTATCTTAGCACTTCTTGCACCTCCAAACTGGAGGGACAGTCGACGAACCTTGTCAGGAAGCGCTAGATTCTGTTGTAAATAGTCTACTCGGATGATCAAATTCTCCTCTGTGGATTTGAAACTAATAAGATCATATACCATGTGATGAACTACACATGACAATATGTTGCCCTTATAATTGGTGTCCACAGGTTGGATCATTCCTCTGTTGAGAAGCTCATCGAAGTAAATCTCTGCAATTTCTTCTTTGTCTTGTGCTTCAGCACTTAGAAAACATTCAGCTGCCCATTGCTTCACCAAATCATCCTTCTCAATGGTGTAGTCCTCTGGATACATGTTAAAATACAGCAAACATGTCTTCAAGTTAGTTGGTAGGTTATTGTACACAATGTTTATACATTCTTTCACGGCTTTAGTAGTTGGATTTGTCCTCAGAACTGAGGGTAAAGAATCTTGAATGAGCTCCCATCGCTGCAGCATGAGGTTTGGTTCGCTTGCTAGCATGCTGGCTATATTTGCAATAACTAATGGTAAACCACCTGATTTCATGATGATTTTTGACGAAACTCCTTTGAAATTTGGAGGACAAGAATCTTCGGAGCCAAAAACTCCATGGAAGAATAATTTTCTTGATTGATCATCATTAAGAGGACTCATCTCAAATCCATAGGTTAAATCATAACTACAACATGCCAAGGCAACATCCTTAAATTGTGTGGTGGTTATTATTCTGCTGCATCAACCACTATCAGGAAAAGCTCGGCTTATAATATCCCATACTGATGCAGTCCATAAATCATCAATTATGATGAGAAACCTGCAAAAGATAATGATGAAATAAAAATCCTAAGTTAGCTTTCTCAAAGAAAACTTAGTTTATGGATGTAGAACCTTTTCCACATCACTTGTTTTTCACTTCACACTACTATTACTCCTAAGAAAGTATGCACATGGTAAATGATTCATTTACAAACACTTGCTTTAGTAGGCACCACAAATACTAGTCTGCCCCTGATTCATCCACATCGGCAATGACATGGGTGGTGACCTCGTAGCAATGCTGCAGGCTAGAATGCTGCTCCCCCTCCACCTCACCATTACTGTGACCCGCAGCAAGGAAGGTGACTAAGGGGCATCCTCACTAGGCAGTGTGCTCATTCCGGCATAGACGATATAATATTATTGGCATGTGGCACAGATCTGGTGCCACTACAAATGGATCTGGTGCCCTTGCATCCGGATCCATCTACCACTTGACTTGGATCAATTTCCATGTGGTGGGGTCATCTCGGCTATGGATAAAATGATGGGTGCCTAGCGATGTTTGCCTGAGAGACAGGGCACCCCATGTCAATCCTTGTGCGTGATGCATACTTCACACAACTGTAGCACTTAGAGTAGCTATGGTGTTATTTGATGGCCAGTCCCTCTATGCAGCAAGACGATCTAGTGTACATGTAGAGTTGGAAGTGGGATGGTTTGTAGCAGCCCTTTCCATGTTAGCAGAAGCCAGAAACTTCTTTGTGGGCTCATACAACTGCCCATGTACACAAGTCAGCTTTTATAGGTTCCCCATTGTCTCATCACATAGCGCGCTAGCCATGGCTTTCCGCTAGTGTACACCTCCCACCTCATTTCCTTCCCAAAGTCCAATCCTTCCTTCATTCACCTTCCCAGCCTCCCTCTCACCAAGCCCTTCCTAGCCATGGTGCTCCTCACGCTCGCCACCAACGCACTAGCACCTTCCACATATCTATCCCCTAAGCTCCAAGACGAGGCCTCAACCCCCACTGCTAAACCCTTCTCTAGCTCCCTCATCATGGTCCCCAAGCCCTACGCCTCTACCACATCTGACGTCTCTGAGGGCACAGTGTCACTATGTTGAGGTCTTGATGTAGATTGGGTGGCCAGCTTCACTTCTTGCAGAACCATGCTAAGGGCATGATTAACAAGGTTGCACTTGACATCACTGGATCTATCTGCGTCGCCAAGCCTATGAACATTTAAGCTACAAATATAGAGCTTGTAGTGCCAGTATGACTGTGAAAGGGATCTAGAATCCATTAAGGTTCATCTAGGTACAAGTAGGTTATAGGGTAGAGAAGAAAGCTTGATAGGGGGAGCAGGTGTCACCTTGGAGCATTTAGAGACAACATACCTACACAACTAAATACCACAAAGCATTTGGCGCCTTGAGCAATGCAAAAGGAAAGAGAAACATGGCTGCCAACGTAAAACAGAGCACCCACACATGGGTACGTAGGGAAGAGGATGATCATGTAGACTCCAACAACCCCATTGAGCTAGAGTGGTTGAGCATGGTGATGTCACTAGCATTGATGTCGCAACCCTCCCCAAGTGGTGAAGCTCTAGCTTGGAGGGACAGTGAATGACCCATTTAGGTTTTGTTAATTGAATGACAATATTAGTGGACTAACAATTTCATATGTGAGATGAAATTTAATGTTTTAGTGCACAAGCTAATGCATGGAGTGGAGGCAGCAAGGAAAATGAAGTGCAATGCTCAACATGTGAAGATGAAGTGATGGAAACGATGGATGAGTATTAAGGATGAAAGCAAAGCCTAAGGCAGGTGTATCATACGATTTTCTTTCTATAGCCATGGTTGATTAGAGAAGTTGAACAGTTGGGATTAGGATCGATAGTCATACTATAAAGAGGACAAATCTTTGGTTAATACAATTGTCTAGTGCCAATAGATGAGATATAACAATGCATGTGTATCAGATCAAGTGGCATGATGTGATGCAAGTAAAAACCCTTGGAAAATATTTTGAAAATGCTAAATCAGTGCTAAAGATAATGGTCATCTCATGGGAGACCTTTTGGTGCTAGATATTTTGAAAAGGTTTGATAGAAAAGTTCGGTGGAGTGTTTTTGCACTCACTAAAGCCCTCCAGTGGTCAATGGAGAAATGGCACTGAAGCTTAGGAATAGTGCTCCAACCATATCTGTTCAATCATCATTTAGGGAATTAGAGCTATCTAGTGGTGCACCGGAGGTGCGCATCAGAGCTTCGGTATGATATTGTTAGCAAGTTTTTAGTGTAAGCAACTTATCTTCTAGTGCCACCAGAGTTGTGAACATCAGGGATTAGAAATTGTGGTCATCAGAGAGCATGGCAATTTAAAAAGAGAGCACGATCTCTCCAGTGATGCACTAGAGTTTTGGAAGTTGATAAAATGTTTGGATCCCATGGCAAAACTTTAGCCTTGCACTTTTAGCTTTTTTTATCATGGGGATCTAAATAGGGGGGCTAAAATTGAGCAAATGGCTAAAAACTGGGCTAAAATTTTTTGCTCCCAAAGAGGGCCTAAACTGGGCTAAACTCCCTTGAGGCAGGCGCTGGACGCCCCTTAGCTCTTGCCGCTTGCCAACCACCCACGAGCAACCCTATCCGCTCGACCGCAACGCCGTCGCTCTCGCCCGCAACACCCTTGCACTGCTGCTGTCGCCTGAATGCCTTCAGCAGTGCCGCTTGCGCCGCAACGCCCCTGAGCCCCCCTCTCGTGCCGCAATGCCCCCTCCAAGGCTGTGCGACGACGATGGCCCCCGAGACCCCTTCTCGTGCCACTCTCGCCGGGGACCGACCGCTCTCTCCGCACCACCGAGGACCATGCTCGCCGTAGATGGATGGGTTCGGCAGTGACGACACCAGGGATTTATTCTCTCAACCCCACTCGTACTCCTCCCCCATCGGTGGCTTCGACATCTTCTCCGATGTGGTGGGCCTCCATCTAGGCTTGAGCTCCGACCATGGTCCCCGGATCGGCCTTGAGGGACTCGACCTCAACTCACAGTCCGAGAGCTAGCCCCATATGGCGGCGTACCAGGACTACCTGTAGTTGGGCGGTGAAGATGGAGGCAACACCGGCACCATGGGCTTCCCTCCCCCTCGACCCCGCAGTAGTAATCGAACCCTGGGGTTACGCACGGCTCGTAGCAGCGGCGGAGGAGGCGCCATTCCCAGCCGTGGTGGAGGGCGCCTGGAGCCTTTGGCCTCCGGTCATGTCTGTCGTGCTCCCAGGCCACCGGTTGTCCACAGCGGCCATGACATGTCCTTGGTACCTCCCGGATCGAGAAGCCATGGCATAGTTCGCGGTTGCGTGCGGCGCGGTGAAGATGAGGATGATGCTAGCGATAATGGTATCAAAGAGATTTTTCAGTGCCCTCAGGTATATTTCGACGCCCATAAACTCAAAATACAATGTGAGTGTTCCATTGCCATGTTCCAAATTAGCTGCGTATTCTTGTGATGCATGTTCTAGAATAAAACTGACAAGGCAAATTGGTCGGAATACAATAATAAACTGTTGTGTAAATTGCTCGTTGAACAAATTGCTTTGGGAAACTACAACAAAGGAACTATGACAGCAAGAGGGTACAAGCTAATCATAGAAAAGTACCACTGTGCAACAAACTTGAAGCATGATAGGAAGCAGATCAGTAACCGAATTAGGCAACTAAAGCAAATGTTCTAGTTCATAAAAGATCTCCATACCAACAGTGGCTTAGGCCATGATGAAAATGGTTGGCCTACTGCAGATCATCAATGGTGGGAAGATGCAACAAAGGTACTTATTTCTGGTATTGTATTGTTCAATCATGGTCTTATATTCATTGATCACTTTCTAACTTGAGTTGTTAACATGTACAGAAGCATCCAGATTGGAAGAAACTAAGGTGGGGGCCTCCCGAGTACCTACTAGAGCTTGAGCAAATATTCGAGGGTGTTGCTATGGATGGTTCCACTTCCTATGTTGCTGGACAAAGCAATATTGATGATCATAGGGTCCCTATGAACATGAGGATGAGGACAATGGATTTGAAGACATGGAAGCCCCTACGAAATAGAGTCCGATGAGTTCAAATAGACACAAGAGAGCAAGCGGTACTAGCACCACAGCTGAAAGTCCTAGCAAGAAGTCCAAAAGCCCAATGGTTAGGATGATGAAGGATTACCTTAGTTTCTCTTCTAAGACTATCTCCAACAATGAGGACCTAAACACAACACCTATTCTCTAATTTAGGTCATGCACAGTAGAAAGGGTCCGTCCCTAAAATTTAGATTCTCCAACAGGCAACGCAAATCAGTCGTCTTCTTCCTCGGTCTCTCCGCTGCCCACCCATCTCCAAGTCCCTAGCCCGATGCCGCCTCCCCTCCATCCAGCGGCGCCCCGTCCCCTCCCTTACCCTCCCCATCTCGGCGGCGCCCCCAGCCCGATGCCCTCTCCCCTCCCCTCCACGGCGCGCAGCGGTCGGAGCACGAAGCACGGCGGCGCTCCTTCTCCAGCACGGTGCGCGGAGCACGACGCGCCCAGGATGGGGAGCACCGGGTGGCGCTCTTTCTCCACCACAGCGCTAGGAGCACGGCGTGGCTGGGATGGGGAGCACAACCGGGCGGCGCTCTTTCTCCACCACGGCACTCGGAGCACGGTGTGCTGCGTGGCGCCCTCCTCTCTCTCTCTCTCTCTCTCTCTCTCTCTCTCACGTGCGGCCCCTTCTCCACAACCAGGCGGCGGCGGCGGCGACCCTCCAGGCGGTGCTCCTTCTCCACAACCGATCCGTGACTGTGGTGGCCAGATCCGCCGCTGGTGGCCGGATCTGCGCTCGTGGTGGGCGGATCCGCCGCTGGT